TGTGGAAGGCATTGAGGAACCTTATTAAACCCATCCTAGCTGGCTCTTCTTCAACTTCTTCAATGCTCTCTGACGCTTTTACGGACTCTTGAGACGAGACTCTTAAGGCATTAAGGGCTCTTCTGTGTGGGCATTCGGCCACCCGATGCGACCTCTTGCATAGGAAACAAGCTAGTGGTTGCCTAGGCTTGAAAGTCATTACGTTGTTTGTCTTGGGTTGAGTGCTATCTCGATTAAAAGACCTCATGCCTGATCCCCCACTGAAGGGTCGGTCCAACCTAGTCATCTTTTTCCCACTCCTAAAGTTGAAGCTACTGCCAGCTGATGGAAGATTTTTTTCATTTTAAGGAGCCATCATTATAATCGTTGAGACGTTCAGTTGCAGCCATAGCCATGGTCACGTCTTGCACTTTTTATCTTTGTAGTTCTGTCTTGGCCCAAGGCTTGAGGCCCTCAAGGAAATAAAACATCTTGTCCTTTTCGGACATGTCTCGAATATCCAACATAGGGTAGAAAAACTCCTTACAAACTCTCGCATTGTTCCTGTTTGCACCAATTCTCGAAGTTTCCTTCGGGCCATATACTCCACATTTTCAAGAAAAAAATGGTTTTTCAGTTCTTGTTTCAGGTCCGTTCAAGTCTTGATCGGACACTCGTCATTGACAAACTTGGAGCGCCACCATAGCTTGGCATCCCCTGTGAGGTACATCAACGCCATTGCTACATTGTCTTCCTCTGAATATGTGTGTACAGCTCGAAAGTACTGCTCCATGTCAAACATGAAGTTTTCAAGCTCTTTAGCATCTCTTGCCCTCTCATAGCATCGAGGCTCTGGCACCTTGGCCCTTTTTCCCCTTTCCGTCAAGCTCGAACTCAATCTGGCCACAGTCATTTGTATGATGCTCACTTGTGCTCTGAGCTCCTCAAACTCCTTTTAGAGAACATTCAAGGCATCTCTAGCCTCTTCGCTCATGTTGTGGAGAGTATCGAACAACTCTCGTTGGGTTGTCTCGATCTCCCTCAATCGATCTTTAGTCATCATGTAAGTTTTCACTGCGACCACCGCGGCCTCAAGTTCCTCAAGTCTCTATTGATAACTGGGTCCACCACTTGTGGCCATCTCCTCCATTTTCTAACACTTCTCAACCGTGCTCTGATACCACGTATCACAAACTAGGCTTTCTCTCAACAAGCAATAGCCCGTGCGGCACTTGAATGGACGCTCCCACCCAAGTCAGCCCTCAATAGTTCGATATCTGAACAAATAACCATAAGCCACAGTTAGTCCCTAGCATATGCAATAAGACACATTCATATCGAGATTAATCTCAAGCACACACAAGAAGGCACATTCACATTGACAAAAAGAAAAACACATCAAGGCAACAATCAGGACATTCAAATCGGAGGTGGATTTTATTAAAATCGAGGATATTACATCGGGACTTCCCACCATCGCCAGGGCCAGGGGGCAGCGCTTGGTGGATAGCCTAGGTCCGTATCGCGACCAGTGAGACAGCCCAATAGGACGCTGCCCATTCACCCCCTTAAAGAGCCTTAGAGATTTTAGAGCTATACTACCATTAACCATTACAATGTTTGAAATGGGGACACTTTTCCTAGCACAAGAGATCTACCCGGTCATGGCCCTATACATGGGTGGCTCATGACAACCTAAACCCTGGTCATAACCCTATACAAGGTTGGCTCATGACACAAGGCTTGAGCTATTGGAGTAAGCAATTTCTCTACAAAGAAACTTGGAGATCTGTTGGAGGTAGCTCGCGTTACTCCTGCTGTACTGCAGGTGGAATGCCATCCTGTCTGGCAGCAGGCCAAGCTACATGCATACTGTGAATCCAAGGGAATTCATATAACTGTGAGTATACATATATATAGTATGAAAGTAAAAAAGCATGAGGTTGGAATTCACATTTATATTTATGATGCCTGCTTCTACTGGATAAGCTAACCTATTTAAAGAAATTTAGGATTCATTTAGATGACACGCTTTAAGGAGGTTCAGGATAGGCTATTATGTTGTAGTATGTGTTATTTCTTATTGTCTTCAAACACTCATTGTTTCTTATGTAATATATAGAGAATTACTTGTTGTGGTTTCAGGGGTATTCACCATTGGGTTCCCCAGGCACAGGAACTGTCAAGACACAGGTCCTTAAGAACACAGTTTTGAATATGGTTGCGGAGAAATTGAGCAAGTCCCCTGCTGAGGTAGCTCTCCGTTGGGGGTTGCAAATGGGTCACTGTATATTGCTTAAGAGTACAAATGAAGAGACGATCAGAGAAAACTTTGATGTTTTTGATTGGTCTATACCTGTGGACTTGTTTGTCAAGTTTTCTGAGATTGAGCAGGTAAGTTACTTATCCATTTTTCATGGCCGGTTTATTGTAGATCTATAGTGTATAAGCAAAATACGTGAGCTTTAGGTCTAGTTCAGTGTTGATGTAATTATTAGTCTAGTGAGAACCACGTTTGTCGGAGGCTAAATTGGTGGACCTGTTTGACCTGTCAAGGAGAAGAAAAAGGTCAGGAAGCATCGGCGTTAGGACTCCGGAATTCGACGCTTAAGTCAATATGTGCCTGATAAGAGAAGCAGTTAATAACAAAGAGGAGAAAGTGGAGATGGACTAGGCCGAATGAGGATCTCGGATCTCCCTTCAAGCCTTCACTGGTATCTTTCATATCTTTACCTCCATCCTCCTAGATGTGTTAGAGGTGTGATGTGGATTTGGTCAAGTGGCAGTCTGGATTATCTTACTCTTATGGGCGTCGTGGGCGTAGTTTGTTGGGCCTAACATTCAGATTATTTATTACCTGTTTTTGTCTTCCAGGAGAGGCTGATCAGGGCGGTGGACTTGTGCATGAAACATTTGGGGCATATTGGACCATGGAAGAACTATGGGATGGTGAGATCTGAACGTACGCCTAAAGCTTTGAGAGCCTAAACAATTTGTCCTTTACGTACGCGTTTGTTTCGGAAGAAATTACCTTAGCTCTGGTAAAAGAGATTCATGCTGCTGCTAAATTTTAAAATAAGGGAAGGAGCAGTGTGTACCATTTAAGCATACTAGTATCTTGGATACAGATATGGTGAACTATATCTTCCAATGTAATAATAATTATTACAAAACCCATTCTCGAAATCCAATCTTCTAAATTTTAAATATTACTTTTGTACGGATTACCAACAGCTAGTCACGCGTTGCACTCAAGTTGCTCGTTTTTTTTTTTTTTACTTTTTTGGTTTTTATTTTTTTTCTCTTTCTAATATTTAAAAACATTTTTAAAATTATAAAAATATATACTTTTTCAAATATTTTATTTTGTGTGTGTGAGATGTATTTATATCTTTTTTTATTATTTTTTCTTTCTCGTTAAAAAATATTTAATTTATTTTAAATGCAATCTACTTGATACCAATAATATGTCATATATTTTTATTATTTTTTATATATATTTTATGAATTTTTTTTAAATTTTAATGTTTTTTAGACCCACTTGATATCGAAAATATACAATGTATCAAATCGTTTAACTTATTCTTTTGCTTTTTTTTTTCATTTTTAATATTTTATAAATTTCTTTCATATATAATCCATTTGATGATTTAAAAAAAGAAAGTGGAGGTGTCAGTATCACGTTGGGATTGCCTTTTTTATTTTTTGGTCTTTTTTAATTTTTATTTTTTTTTAAATTCATGAAATAAAATTTTTTAAAACTTTTATCATTGGTAATGAACTCAACTTTCTTCTATTTTTATTTTCATTTACTTTTATTTATTTTTTTAAATAAAATCATTTTTTTAAAAATAAACAAATAAATGCGTACATGTGGTTTTTATTTTTTAATTGAAACTCAACCTGACATGTGGTATCGTATTTTTTATTTTTTTAATTAATCAAATTATTATTTAATATTTTAATTTAAAAATTAGGATGTCTACATAATACTTTAATGAACTTTTTTTTATATTTTTTTATTAAATTAATTTATTAAAAAAATTAGGCCAATAGAGATGTCTATATAGCATCTCATTTGTTTTTTTTTTTCTTGTTTGCCGTTTTTATTTTTAATTAAATAAAATTTGTAGTTTTTATTTTTAATTAAATAAAATTTGTAACAAAATATGCTAATTGATAAAAATATCAAAATATTTTATATTTAAGAGTTTCAAGATGGCTTTTTAAATAGGAACCAAATTGACATAAGTTGAGTTTTTCATAAAATATGATATTGGGGTGAAAACATGTTTAGAATATATTGTCTTAACTCATTTAAAAGTATATATAAAAATATATATTTTATTATTAATTAAATTCTATATTTATATATAATATTAATAAAATTAGTATTTGATATTTAAATTTAATAAATTAATATTTTAAACTTAATAGACATGTGATGCCTCCTATGAACTAATTTTTTTTAATTTTTGTTTTTGTTCTTTTTTACTTTTTACATTATCTTTCGTTTTAGATTTTTTTATTAGATATATTTTATGATAATAAAAGGTTAATTCAAATATTGATCTAATACTCTCAATAAGCTTTTTTTATTTTTTATATTTTTTTATTAAATAAATTTTATAATAAAAAATAATGATTAATAAAAATTATAAAATAATTCGTGCCCAACAAATTTTGATATATTCTTGCTAATTTTTTTTAATTGAAATCAAATCGGAACGAAACAAATCGTTTACAAAAAAACGAGATCGAAGCTAAACCGTATTTATGTCTCCGAAATGTGGAGAAATCCTCCCCCACCTCTAATTTATCACAATAGATAATTCCTCTATGTTGTTAAAATTAATTTCATTTCCTCTGATTTCAACGTTATAAAACAGGAAACCTTTCATTACCTTTTCGCATTTCTGAGTTAAGGTTAAAGTGTTAAAATTAATTTCTAAACCACTAATAATGGGAAATGGGGACAGTCAGGTCAGATTTTTTAACAAACCAATAGTCTCTGAACAAGTGATCATCAGGAGCTTTCGGTTCAAGCATTCTCAACCACGAAACGTTGAAAAAACAGTAATAAGACGTCAAACTGTGAAAACGAAACTGTTGAAGACCGAATCGTTTGTTAAGTGTTGTTTTTGTCTGCTCTCTTCTCTACGCAGTATGCAATAGTTGCAAAAAAATGGCTGATGAAATCAGGTTCTTTGAACTAAACACAGGAGCTAAGATCCCTTCGGTTGGGTTGGGCACTTACGCTGTTACTGGAAACACAGTCACTACTGCCGTCAAGGTATCTTCTTGTTTTTCTTTTTCTTTTCCTTTTTTTTTTTGGGTTTTTTGTTTGTGATTTTCAGTTGAATTGCATTATCTTTGTTGGATTCAGGTTGGGTATAGGCATATTGATTGCGCTTTTATGTATGGCAATGAGAAGGAGGTGATAAATTTGCAATTTCTCTTTAGTTTCTCAGTCATGATATAATAAATTTACCCAAAGTTAATTTACATTTTTTTCATATAATTAATTATTTTCTGGTATATGCAGATAGGCTTTGCATTGAAGGAGTTGTTTGATGATGGTGTAGTGAGGCGTGAGGACTTATGGATCACCTCCAAGCTCGGGTTTGTTCCTTTTCTCTTTTCTTTTGCCCCCATAATTTTTGTTCTTTTTTTTTTATTATTTTAAACTTGGTTTTAGGCTGTGAAAAGTTAATGAAATTCTACTTGAAAGTTCATATTTTGAAATAGTTGAACAAGTTAATTTTGTTTCTTTCCTTTCCCTGGATTCGTTTTATCATCAAAGCCTAATAAAATGATGATCAGGTGCACCCATCACTTGCCTGAAGATGTACCAGAGGCATTGAACAGAACTTTGCAAGATTTGCAGCTTGACTATGTGGATCTCTATCTAGTATGTATAGCACAAAACTCTTATTTTCTGTATACTTCATTCGAGAAATGAGTTATGTTCCAGAAGTTGCTTTTTGGTTTGTTTAATTTGATGTTCTTTGGAGTCAAGTGTCAAGTAGCTGAATTTATATATTTTGACATGGTTCATCATGATAATTTCTATGAAAGAGCTATATTTGTTGCTAATTGTGATGAATTGTGAAGATACACTGGCCAGCCAGTGTGAAAAAGGGTTCAATTGGTGTTACGCCTGAAAACCTCACACAACCAAACATATCCAGTACGTGGAGAGCAATGGAGGCACTTTATGATTCTGGCAAGGCTCGGGCTATTGGTGTGAGTAACTTCTCTTCTAAGAAGCTTGGAGATCTGTTGGAAGTAGCACGCGTAATTCCCGCTGTCAATCAAGTGGAACTTCACCCTGTATGGCAGCAGCCAAAGCTGCATGAATATTGTCAATCCAAGGGAATTCACTTGTCGGTGAGTTTGAAGATTTGAAGCTACAAAATTTTCTTGTGCTCTGTTTCATTGAAACAAACAGGCCATCACTTGATGAATTCCATTTTCCATTTTGTACCAGCTGGTCTGGCTGATAATTTTTGTTCGTTTCTCATCTTCCCTTACTCCATCTTGATTGTATAATTTTGTATTGGTAGTAGCTGTTAATTTCTTTTGATCTCAGGGATATTCACCGTTGGGTTCCCAACGTAGAGATAATGTCAGAAAAAAGGTTCAGGAGAATCCCGTTCTTAAAATGGTTTCAGAGCAACTGGGGAAATCTCCTGCGCAAGTGGCTCTCCGTTGGGGACTGCAAATGGGCCATACTGTACTGCCTAAGAGCACAAATGAGGCCAGACTGAAGGAAAATCTTGATATTTTTAACTGGTCTATCCCCGGAGATTTGTTTGCCAAGTTTTCTGAAATTGAGCAGGCAAGTGTCAATTTCACTTTTTTTTTATCGTCGCTTCCTTCTCTTTCTCTGTCTCTCTCACATGTGCATGTTTACTGCTCACTAGCTTACTTGTTTATTTTGGTGCTTCCTGTAACTTCAATTTTCTGAGACTTGACATGATGGCATATGTTGTGTGTGTGTGTGTGCATATGTATAAGGGAATAAAAAAATTATGCAGCTTTTATCTTGAAGCCTATGGTATAATAGTATCTGAACAATCTTTAGATCAAGACATACCGTTTAGTCAGGATTCCATCTTTTTTTTTTGTTGTGGATTGTGTAAATTGAATTGTTTTCAACCAAGGAAAGGTCTTCGGTTCTGCTAAGTATTGAATATTAGGATTTTCATTGCAGGAGAAGCTAATTAGAGGCAGTGTTTATGTACACCAGACTTTTGGTGCATACAGCACCATTGAAGAATTATGGGATGGTGAAATCTGAGCCGACAGATGTTCGAAATTGTTGTTGACATGCTACTAAATTTCAGTGTTTATGCCTACCTGCATGTAGCTAAATCCAAAAGATCATGAAATTTAGAGTAAAGTAACGAGAGCTATCAGGAATGCATTTTCGGAAGAAGGAAGCAGAGTTCTTTGCAGAAGGTGAGCTTAAATGCATGGAATATTTGTTGCAGACTCTTTTAAACGATATAAAAAAAGCAATAAAGGGTGTCTTCATCATTTTGTGCTGTGTAATTTTGCTGAATTTACGTAATTGCATGATAAATTGAGACTCATCCTGACATAGAAAACAGTATTCATAACCATATAATTGGGCAAAGCTACATCCTAATCACACAATCGGAATCCTGACAAGGATTGGACATGTAAAAGATTAAATATAATAAAAAAAAGTTAAAAAAAACGTAGTAAATTATTGCAAGTTTAAGATTTTGAATTTTTTTATTTTCAAAAGCACTATGTTGTTTACATATATAATTAGTTGATCAATTAAAATAATAATAAAATAAATTAAATATTTCAATATCAAGAACTTTTTTTACTATGAAAACATAGTAATAGATATAATATTTATAAAAAAATATTTATGATATTTTTAACTTCATTTTTTATGTAAAAAATGTAGTATTTGATAAATATATAATTTTCTCTATATCAATAATTATGTTTTTTGTTATAGAAATGTAATCGTTGATAAATCGTAATTTTTTTTTTTTATAAGTATTACATTTTTTACATATAAAACATAATTGATCATTTAAAAAAAAATAAGTTTGATATTTTCAATATCAATGACATTTTTTAGTATGAAAATATAATAATAAATATAATATTTATAATATAATATTTAAGATATTTTTAACCACGTTTTTATATTAAAAAAGGTAGTGTTCGATAAATATAAATTTTTTTTATATCAATAAATTATAGTAATTGATCATTTGGAGCTGATAACGTTTCAAAAATTGAAAATGTAATTTTTGTTGAAAATATGAAAAAATATTTTTTATAATTTAATAAGGATGACATTTTTAAGATAGAAAATACAATATTTGTTGAATAGATGACGTTTTAAAGATAAAAACGTAATTTTTGTTAAAAACAAGGAAAAATATATTTTTTGGAATTTAATAAGGATAATGTTTCTAAGATAGAAAACGTAATTTTTATTGAAAAAATAAAAAATATATTTTTTAAAATTCAATAAAAATGATTTTTTAAAATAAAAAATATAATCTTTGTTGAAAATATAAAAATAAAATGTAAAATATCTTAATGTAATATTATTACATATATAATCTAAAATTTATTTATTTAATATTATTATATATAAAATTTGTTACCAGGCACGCGAAGGTCAATTCATGTCTTTTCTCTGCATAAGGATAATAACATGTTATTCATATATTAATATTATGAATGTTATGTGTTATTCATGTGTTTTCAAAGATAATATAATAAAAAATTTTATTAAGTAATCTTACATTTACATGAATTAAACACAAAAATTTTATATTTTTTAAATTTAAAAAAATTCAAAAATCATACATTTTTTTTAATATCACTTTTTTCTTAAATTATATATTTTTTTCAAAATTTAACGAATCAAACATAAATAAAAGTTATGGGGTCAATCTTCATTTATAAGTAAACTTTTTCCTTTGGGATAATCTTTCTCTCAAATTGTAAAGAGCATATCCAAAGGAATTGTTTCCATGGGGACTTTTATAATAAGTTTAAATGTTTTTACATTATTATATGGTTATTAAATAATAACTGTTAGATATAAAAAAAATTAATATAAATTATTGATTTTTTTAATTATAAAAATAATTGATTACCTGTTATTTTGTTAATCCAATTTTAATTAATTAATATAAAAAATTATTTATTAAATAAAAGAAAATAAATTTTAAAACTATTAAGAGTTCTTCTTCATTTTATTAAAGGAATTTTAAAATTGCTAGGGTTCTTTTTATTTTTATTATTTTTTTACTATTTTTTTCATAAGATTGATCAAGCACTTTGAAGTCTTATACATATTCATCTCTGCTTTGAAACTTCAGCATCGTTTTCATTAATGCATCAAAAGTTTCTTCTGTTGTAGCCAAATCTTCATTATTCATCTTAGGTAAATTTCAACGTCTTTCCATTCAAGAACAATATTATAACAAAGCTTTGGATTTAAAAGATTATTATCCTCGTGTCAGTTGTGCTGATTTTTTATTTATTTTATTGCTTTTTACTTTTAGTTGTTTTTGTAATTGGGTTTTATGCTCTAAGGATGAGGGAATTCTGTTTTTTTTTTTTTTTTTAACATAATCAATCGTTAACTGATAATCAACAACATATACAAAAGCTATGACCGCCCATACTCAACCTCAATACTACAAACAGATAGCTAGTCAAACCTAAATCAAGTTTTTTTTTTTTTTTTTTTTCAATTAGAAAGTTTAGCTAATTTGAAGATGAGAAAGGCTGGCCATAGGTTATATGTGATCCCAGGAACTCAGTTTCAACTTAAATTATTAAAAAAAAGTGCAATGTGACAATCATGAAGTCCCACAAAATAATTGGAAATTGAAAAAAGAAAGCTTCTCCGATTAATTGATTTTTTTTTTCACTTAAACAGCCTGAAAGAGTATATTTTGTTAAATCATGTCAGCATGTGGAGGGCTTGAAAGAGGATATTTTTCTACAGTGGTGATTAAATGCACATTTAAAGCATGCTCACAGAACAAAATAAAGTGTTTACTCAACGAAACGATCAACTCTTTTTTGCCTATCTTTTTATAAATTCTCTATTGGTCCATGCATGGGCGTTTGTTGTTGTCATGAAGAAAAGGGGCATGAAATATTTTTGTTTCAAGTTCCTATCTTTGGTCATATACTTAACGGTTCAATGGTGTTATTTAATTTATTTATGCTGGAAACCAAGGCTACCTCTTTTAAGTTGCCGTGCCAACCCAACCATCTCATCTATTAAATCCTCATGAAGCTTTTTGAGCTTCTGCATCTGCGCTACTGCTGCAGCATCCAGTTTGATAGCTGTTGATGTTATTGCCATGGCCTATATACATGACTATTTATACTATATTATTGGAAAATAAAAAAGGTTTTTATTCACTTATTGAAATATTTGTTGATGACTTGAACCAGGTCCAACGCAATAAAGCAATCTCCTGAAATACATGATCTTAGCTTTTGAGTTTGCTACAGTAAAAGCTAAAAATTTAATGCTACTAGACTATGTTTCTTTACGTGCATGTTTTGGCCTAATTGGTTTGATTTGGTGAGCTGAATTTTTCGTGTAGCTGATTGCCCTTTCTGTGACTTGTAAAATTTTTTTTTTTTTGTGGGCTGATACTTTTATTAAAATTAAGAGTTTTAATGAAATTCAGGGCTGCGCTGAAAGTTTCCCTCATTTAGCAAAGACTCATGAAAATGTGAGCAATGGCATGTTATTTGGCTGAGTGTCAAATACAAGTTTCTTCAAATATAGTTTACATGGTTTTCTGAGATGGGGGGTGCAATTTTATTTTTCTTGATAAGTTATACTAGTTTGTATGTTAATGAAATTATATATTTTTTCTTACCAACTTGCTTATTATCATAACATTTTTGTAGGAGTCTGTTGCTCCAAAGGAGCTCATTAGCTTTTAGGGTGAGTTATAATCCAAGAGAAGGGTAAATTGGATTTCTCTAAAATCTTTTTAAATAATGATTTCAAAAAAATTGAATGTAAGATTAAAAACAATATACTCTTTAATGAAAATATGATGCTATCAACAATAATTAATGAGCCTAGAATCAAATATAAACAATAATAAATGTAAAAAATATAGAGATAGAGAAATCAAATATAAAAATTTATAAAAGTTCGATCATTTTTTTCAAGACACTTACATCCTATCCCTTGGTTATCCACACTAAGGCTCCAATCCACTATTTTTGAATTGAAATTATAATTCTATCTTTTTCTTAAGGCTTAGATGGCAACCTAACACTCTCAACTTTTTAGTTAAGTAGCAATCTCTCAATCTCACAAATATTAGAGGACACTTCACCTCTTTATTACAAAATCACTCAATTGAAATGCAAACTAGAACACCTCTCAAAGGCTAAGTGTTTGGCTAATGAAATACAAGGATATTGATGAATTAATACAACAAAGATGGCTTGGACATAACAAATATGAAATTTTGGCTCTAAAACACTTGATTTTCTTTTAAAAAATAAAAATATAACTTGTTGGTGCTTACTCTCTTGCTTCTTCAAGCTTCTTGGTGTATTGGAATGCCTAATTTATAAAAGAATTGAGGAACTAACTGCTGGAGAATGAAAACACATGATTTTCTCTTTTGAAACTAGCTACTGAAGCTTGTTTGAGACAAATGGATCCATTGGTTTTGATAAAGGATCCATTGGTTCTTGAATTTCACTCAATTTTTTTATTGTTACAGCTAAAAAGATCAATTGGTTTCGATACCCAATCGATTGGGTCAACCAAATTTTATATACTAAATGATTCTAAATAAATAGTGTTGTTGATAGTCTTCTATTTTGTACTATACTTACTATTTGATCGTATCTTGAGTTATACAACTCTAAATTAAAAGCCACTTGAAAATTTAGAACTAAACTTAAAGAGCTTTCTATCCATATAAAATTCATAACCTAATTTATTGTATACAAATTATAATAAATTTTCAAATCTACTATTTGTGTAATTTTTAGACAATTGCATAGTATCTAGTAAAAATTTAAATTTTTTTTTTTTAATTTGAATTTTGATTTTTTTTAGTCCATTAGAAAGTAGACTCAAAGAGCTTTCTAATCATATAAAATTCAAATATTAAAACTTTATAAATTAATACTAAAAAAATAAAACAAGTTCAATATTGAAATACTTTGTTCATATAAAATAACTTTCTTAAGTTAATCTATTTCTCAAAACCAATATTATCAAAATTGTATTGAGCCAAATATGAACAAGTTCACTTTAAAAACAACAATTGAACTTTCATTTAAGCTCAAATAAATAAACTTTAAAGATAGATTTAATTTGAGAAATATGAAAACAAAGACAGGTTTGTTTAAACTTTAAAAATTATATTATCTATTTAGTATCAAAATAAAAAAACCTAAAAATATGTATTAAATAAATCTTTTTCAAAATCTTGATCAAATTTATTTAACTTAATATTTTATCATTTCAAAATAAAAATTAATTTAAAGCTAACAGAGTAAGTGGACAAAAGTGTGTAAGTAAA